CCCCAAAACCCCAAAACCCCAAAACCCCTCAATGAATTTAGGTGAAATTAATGAAATTGTATAAATATTAAATCGATGATGATGCTATTTATAAATCCGTGACGTTTTTAGCTATAATTTAAAATCAACACATCATGTAAAAACTTTAGTACAAAAAGGAAGTCTTTCCTGACATAAGGAAAATTGTTTATCAGCCCATTGATGCAGAGGGAAACCAAGTCTAGCACTCTCATGTTTTGGTGTGGACTACTGGTGCTGGTCAAGATAGCACAGTGTATGAAAAACTTATTGAAAGAGGCAAATTCAGAGTACCTTAAGTAAGTACACGTTAATTCATTGTATTTCATGACAATTACAAAACAATTAAAATTAACAGAAAGTAACTTTGTTTAATAGGGCATCAGGATAGTGTTACTCTGGCCTGTGAAAGTCAAATATACTTACCCCTAGAGTAACGGAGATATGGAGGGATTTTCTTGGTACGACTTCAGCTTAGAGTCTAAGTTTATGAATTTTGAGTAATCCAAAAAGTCTGCGCTTATTATTAATGATCACATCAAGGAAGAATTAAAACTATTGAATAATGACTATAAGAAGCTCATACTCTCAGGTTTTAGCGGTGGAAATATAACCAACTTTTATGTACTATTTGACTTGATCTAGGATTAAATTGGGATGATGTTTGGGATGTCATCATTTATATCAATAGAGTTGGCAGAAAGAATCATAAAGCTAGCTGAAACTAATGAATATAAAAAAGCTCAGGATAAGATGAGAAATACATAAATATACTCTTGGTATGGAGACAAAGACCCATTCTATCTTGATCTCCCAAACAAAGAGTTAATGGAAAGAGTCAAATAGGCTTGTCACTTTGAAGAAAATTTCCATTTGATTGAAGAAAATGGTCTTGCCCATAGAGTGAGCTACAAAGGACTTGATTATTTCCATGATTTAATGTAAGCTTTTGTAGATCAAAGTAAAATCTCAGCCAAATTATGATATATATATACTTTTAATTGAATTTTCAATAATTATTGACATTAATCTCATTATCATACTTGAGGGGTTTTGGGGTTTTGGGGAATATTTAATCCGCTCTCACTCCTTTAAGCTCCAGTGTTTAATTTACACCCCAAAACCCCAAAACCCCAAAACCCCTTTCCATGTAAATAGGAAATAATTCTCAAAAATTAATTAAATTCAAAATGGAATAATTAAATGCCAAACCCTTATCCAACTTTAAATTGATCAGTTTGATAGCAATTGGATTTATTATAAGACAGCTATTATTTGAAAGAATAGATTCACTAAAGAGATATGTTTACTTCAGAACTCCGCTAAATGATATAAGATAACTAAGAGACTGCTTTGTCAATAATGAGTTGAGTGGAACATACTTTTTAGATAAGAATTCAATAAATCAACCCTTACTGCTAGTAAAATTTTATGATAAACTAAATAATCTTGGTGGGAAAGATGATTCCTTAACCTACATCAAATTATTCCTATCATTAGTAGATATTTTAGCGGTATCATTGCAATGCCTAATATTCAAGCATAGTTTTGAAGTAACTTTTTAGAATGCAACTAAAAAGCATCAGGATGATCCTTCAAAAATGAATAACAAGTTAGAATCAGGAAGATAATATCTTTGGCTTTTTATAATTTGGGCAATATTTAATCCGCTCTCACTCCTTTAAGCTCCAGTGTTTAATTTACAGATTATAAATCACTTTATGATTACTCTTGTCATTTACATGAACTTGAAGCATAAAAAATATTCTCAAATTTAAAGAGACTTAATTCAAAGTATAGCACTATATGTTGATCCCACGTTACTTTATGCTTTTATACCTTTAGTAATCATTAGAAATATTCTTTTCTATCGTAATTTGATATCAACACTTTAATCAATTACAATTTAAATGACTGTGCTGGCACTTTTGATATTCTCAAGCGGAGATGTTAGTTTAGAGTTAAGAAACTATAAAAATATACTATTTGTTAGTGATCATAGTGAGAATTTAGGCTTTTTCTGGTATATATTTGTAGAGGTAAGAATATATTTGGGGTTTTATAAGGAATTTTATTTAGATGTTTAAGTAGCATGTTGATTTTTACAGGCATACATATTTGATTATGATATCGATTTTCAGTGTTTATTCAGTGATAATGTTCAGTTATCTTATAAAATCCTATTAATTTCTCCCATAGTCTGAATAAACCTAGGAGAGAAAATAAAGAATACTGCACACTGCTATTGTTATTATCTTCTATGTAAATCTATTCTAAATTTATGTTTTACTCTAGTTCAAAATTGAGTTGTATCAATACCCAACATTATTCGACTTCAATATGATCTTAATGATAGTATTTTCTTTCTATAAGATTCTAAGACATGTTGAAGGTCTAATAATCATTGCTTTTGGTTTCATTTACTGTATGTAGAATGTACTTTATTTATGGATTACTTGGGTTGAAAGATTCTCAGGAAATGCTAACTTCTTCTATTTTTAGACAATAGTATATAACGCCTTTTTGACAATTGCTTTTATTCAATTATTCCAATCACTAAACACAAAAGCAAAAAAATTCTAGAAATTGGCTCTAAAAGCTTAGGAAGGAATTAATGTTAAGGAAGTTAAAGAGTAATCCAAAAAGGATTAATGACTAATTCGAATTCAAACTTTTATTATTCTCACTATTAAACAATATAAATTGCTAGGGGTTTTGGGGTTTTGGGGTTTTGGGG